GGTGAGTACATGCTCGGAGTCAAGAGGGCGACGAAAATGAAGAATTTACATCGATACCTACATGGAATGGTAGAAATTTCACCATCACGTTTTAATACCCCTTCAACAAAGAACAGAAATGATGCACAGGCTTCATGAAAGTCACTGCCCCCTTCTGAGTAATTTGTGATACTTCTCGGAACCCTAATACGACTCTGGTAACCGCATTCACAACTGATTGGTCTTCATCGCCAGAGCTTCACTTCGCTGATGATGGGCCAGTCAAATGGTGTGCTGACTCATTAATTGAGTCACATGGTGACAAAGACAAACCATTCTTCTTGTCTTTATGGCTTGGCCCTCTACCTATGACTCACAGTCGCCTTCCACTCCACCAGTTATGGCACGAAAAAACTGAAACACCCAATCGCTTTAGCCCTCTGCCCACTTTTGCGCAGGAAGCAAAGGCTCGCAGCTATTCTTTATCGTCCCATCGGACATACAATTCTGAAAATTTCGTTATTACTCAATCCAGCATAAATACAATTTAGCCACCAAACTATACAATCACCCTTTTGCATCTCATGATAAAACTTTGACTTGCGCTGCTTCTTCCTATCGAGCTCTGCTTGAGGCACAAAACGATATCATCTCAGTCAATTGCGGACAATCCTATGCTTTGCATGGAAGCTATTGTTGCTTCGTGCCCGTGCAAAAAGCGCTCCTGTTTCTTGGTTGAGGCTGATTCATGATTTGCAAGTGGGTGGAACTTAACCATACTGGTGGAGTGGTGGAACTTAACCACTCCACCAGTTATGGCACGAAAAAACTCCCAATACCCAACACGTTTTAAGCGAAGGGGAAGGTGTACGCAAGGAGCATATGGCCTTACTGTAGCAGATGAATATTTAAGAGCACTGCGGAGCTGCTCGGCAGTTGGAAGACCCTTGTCTATATCCACAGCATTGCTCGGGTCTATTGCTTCTGGCGAGCTCAATACTATGACCCCATTTTGGATCCTCGCAGCACGTAAGCTGTGGCAAACTGAATGCAACGCCAACAGCTTTTTCAAACAAGCTTGAATGGATGCGAATGCTTTTCATGCAAGCCGCATCCTTTCGTTGACCTTCATGAAGATGAAAACCGCTAACGCTTTCAGGACACTGTCACACACCATTGTGACAATAAAATGTCTTACCTTTCGGACATATTTCACCATCTCTCAACTTTTTTGACGGGAAGGAAGAACGCTTAGATAGACCAGACACGCCTGGTTAGAATAAATGAGCACTCATGACATCTGGCGCAATAATCTTCGCACGTTGAGAACGCCTGTTCGACCCAGATTTGGCACATAGGATCCCAGTCTTGCACGTGTCCTCCCAGGTTTGAGATCGCGACTGCGCTGTGGATCAGTAAAAAAAGACCTTATTAATTGCTCTCTTAATTTGACTTGTCCATGGGAATGGTTTTACCGTTTCGGTCCTCACAAGGCCCACAATAGCGTTCTACGGTCGATTCCATGTGTTTCACTGCCGACTCAAGTGCTTGTGGATGTGCCTCATAAGTTCATTCTTGGAAATGCTTAGCGCCTTCTAGAGCGGTTACCACTTTCGACTACTTAACCGCCAATTCTTTAGTTCCATCGGGACTTATCATCGGCAATTGTGTATTAGTCTGGTCTATTTGTCTCAGCTGCAGATATTCGAACATTTCATACCCCATTATCACAGAGGATACAAACTTCTAACGACTCAGTGATGGGATTGACCACAAGTTCTATCAAGTGCAACAGGATTGCTGAGGACACTACAAGAGTCCACGTTAGCGAATAATGTTTTTCTGCGCTGCTATCAGGAACAAAATCGAGATCCTCTAACGTAACAACACTTTTATTTCGCTGTTCTAATTCACGAGTGAATATATCAAAGATACATTCCATCCGGAGAATTACTAGATTTATTCATTACTATATCTCACATATATCTTTTTTCTGACGTGCGGACTCCCCCTTTTCGGAGTGAATAACTTTTATACATACTTATCTTTTGGTAATTATAAATATCCAGAGTTGAATATACGAGATTACGGCATCTGTGTTTGTTTCCCGATGGAGTCATTTTAAAAGGGAAACTTCTATATAAAGAAGTGGACCTCACCTTTAGGGGTTGCTGGCTGTCAAAGTCAACGTCCAGGCCTTTGTGAAGCTGTTTAAAAGCCTGATTGATTTTAGTGCGCCGTGAAATAACGTACGATGCGCGACTGTTGAGCACAATGGACAATACACGGAGGCATTTAAAAGATCAACTACAGTTTCAATATCTGCGTGTCTTTTCAGCTGTGAAAGGTCCGTCGGGTGTACTTGTGAAGAGTGAGGGCTTTGACAGTGTAAGACATTGCTTAGTCCAAACCTCGATTTCAGATACGGTCTATGGCAAGGCGACTTCAACGTTCGCCTTACATTGAGGCATGGGTGTCGTGCGCGTAGAGATTATGTCATTCGTATAATCGAAGACAAATGTTGAGCGCTTATCCATCAGTGAGAGATTGATGCCACACCAAAATTCTTTTTCCGTACAAACACGAAACAAATCCGGGAATAGGAGCGCAACTCCGCAACCCAGGCACTGAACTTCGTGCTCATGAATCAGTAAGTGTATATTGTAACTGTTTAAGAGCGACATTTAATAAAGTGAGTACGTGAAGCAGAATGCTAAGTCATTCCTTTGGGAATGCCTAACGCAACAGTGACGTTTGATTATCTGGTGACACAGCCATTTAGCCCACACAGTGCGCACACATGTACTTTCTGACAATATTCCATCCATTTCTTTGAAGGGCAGTAAATAGAATGTCAAGATCCACGTCAAACACTTACATAAATCGATCAAGAGTATTCACATACAGAAGCAGTTGCCAGCACAGGAAAGTGTGTCTTTTGCGATGACAAAATTCGTCTTTTAGCTGCTGCAATTGAATGCATAGTCTGTGAGCAGGATTAACGAAGGGAAGCCCATGATACATTAGCTAGAATCACTGTCTAATTTGGACATTGTGAAGTAGCTTGGCCTGGCCAACTACATGTATAAGCATAATGCAAATCATGCCGACATGACACGCCCCACTAAACTCCATTAGAAAATGTCAAATATTGCTGAGGTGCCGCAGACTAGGTAGTCTACAGGATTTGGCGGAGTATCAGATTGAGTTGGAGTAGCACATGCGTGCTTCAGCTGTGGCCTTGCCAAATCCGGTTTGGCTACTTCACGCCTCCCTAACGCTTCGGCCTCAGCCTTTAGCTTTGTTTCAATCCCGGCAGATGCAAGTAGACATAAACGCGTCCATAAGCCTGAACCTCTTCAGCTTAATGCGGCAACTATGACAATTTCAGTTCGTGACAGAAGCTACTGGCGATAAAGTGTGCTATTGTGGCTCGAAACTATCGTTGAATTTTACAGATTATGCGTTATTGTACACAGCGATATCTCAACCATATCTGTCGCAGAGAATGCCAGATACTTAGTATTCTTTGACGAATATAACACCAAAGGTAAGAAAAGTATAAATTAGCTATATGGCGACAGATGCACTTCATGTTACCCAGACTATGGACCGTCGCACGTCAGGAAGGTCATGTTGTGCACCGAACACGATATTCGTAAGGGGTCAAGACCGACACTGGTTAAAAAAAATGCCATCGGGGTGAGTCAATCGAAGCCTAAAGTAGCAAGTTTGCACCGCTATCCCAAATTCCAAGGCTTGCTGAAGCACTGGACGATTAAGCGTATGTGGTGGTTAAAAATGGTGAATACCGCATGTCCAAATGGTATTATACCCCTTGGGTAACCACCTCAAAAGACATTGGCATTCGTGCTACGCTTTGATGACGAAAATAATTTAATTGGGTGAACACTTATGTGCGCACGAATTAAAGTCTCGCATCATGCAAGGGCGCCTTTGGCCATCTACCCACTCCGTCTGTATTTTTAAATACACTTTATCCTTGTTTCATAGAGAAGCCGCGTCCGGAACTTTGTCGATTGTCTGAAAAGGATAACAAATAATAATGCTACCAGCGTCAACGTTATCGCTAAAGGTACAATCATGATGATCGTTCCTCGCCGACATGGCTTGCTGGTGGTCATTGTACGTATAGATCACTTGCTTAACAATAAATTATGTCAAACTGTGTCTAAGACCCTTGGCGGCAAGATTGTACATGTTCACCGCCGAGCATCCTCAGACAGCTAACTTTACAGAGCAATAATTTTAACCATCAAAGCACTTGCAAAAAGCAGTCATGGTGGTAGAAGCACGGTGCTCTCACTTACTGAGATTACACAACGATCGAAGTATGTTCTACAAAAGGCTTTCGTACGATTTCCACCCTTTTTGTCAGCTTCAATTTCCCGGAAACACTTTCGAAGTGGCGCCGGCCTAAATGGAGGAAAGCTTGTTGACTGATTTGCAGACGTCGACCCGCTGATTGAGCTAAGTGTGACGAGTGTGCAAAGCAACGACTGCGATCCAAGATATGCAAAAGCGACGCGATGGTGGCATATGCAGACAAGGCATACACGAATTGATAGCAAACGATAACAGATTAGACGTTGTTAACTTGCTCATATATGAGTGTCTGCAGTCTATAAGACTTGTTCTGATCTCGTTACATCGGACCATATAAGGTCGTAGATAGAATGACATTTGACTAAAACCGTAATTTTCCAATGAAAGTGCAATACACATGCTAGGTTTCTTTTGACCTCACATTGATGTAGCTTTTTACAAACCATTCGGATCTAAAGCGCATTGTTGATGACGAAGCGCAGTCACAACAATACATTGCAGCGAATCTATTTCCCGCTCCGGGCAGAATACGAGTTTAAATAGTTAAGTGCTCTTCCGATGATGGCGTGGCTTAACCGGCTTGATTGTTGTGACAAGCTGCCATATTTTTCGTCTTGCAACAGCTGCGGTAGAACTCCCCCCCCCACCGGTACGGCTCAATGGGCAAGGGTTATCCACTGCAAAATAGAGTAAATAATGAGCCGGCGGGCTACCGCGATTAGCAATTACATCAATTTAATACCGTTGTACTGGAAACAAATTAAGGTTTAGGCCCCGCTTTTGCAAAATTTACCTGGTGCCATTACGTCTTTGCACTAAGCACACTCTCCTGCTTTATCTACCCAAGTGGAGAGACAGGGTCGCCTAGCTCAACATAGAGCCACATGCAAGCAAAATGTGGGACCTGGCCCCACCCAGGCTCGAGACTTGGTCGGAAGCTGTACTAGCACGATCATGAACAACCAGAGCTATAGACATCAAAAACTTGTAATTTGCTGCTCTGAGCCTAGGAAGTATTTGCAAAAAGTGGATGTTCAAAAAGTCGGCAAGCACTTGTGGAGTGACATTCAAGCATCAAACCCACACAATCGCAGACATCAACTTACCTACTTAGGAATATCATTTCGTTATAGTAACGTGACATTCAATGGTTAATATAGAGACGGTGCTAAATTAAAGGGGAGGTCCGCGGAACACGTGGGCCGCGGACTTGCTGAGTCAAATATTTCTCGGTACAAAGTGTACGTAAGGGATACAGGCGATGCTGAACAAATGTTAATCAAAAATTGAAGACTAGATTGGGATTTTCTGAAGGCATGATAGCAGATATATCTGGCATTTGTTTAAATATGCCGCGCTTGGTAATAAATAGCACAACTTTGTTCTAATTATCTAAAAAGACTCTCGATTTCACACTCGAGTAAGCTATACAACCCTATTTTCTGTGCTTTTGCTATCGCAGACTTGTAGAGTCTATATCGCGACAGCGTTCCAACACAGCTAAATTCAGACTAGCTCATAGAGTCCGTGTATACGGCGAACAAATAATGGTTTGTAAGCTCACCCTGAAGCCGACGCAAAATCTTAAGTAATTTTGTACCTAGCTTGCCCTGCTATAACAATTTCAATTTAATACGTTTTACCGTATCCAATATTGAGTATCTTCGTCGCTAGACCTAACGTTGGCAGCCCAAATCCACTCCTTTACGGAGTTCCATCGGTTATCGGCACCTAAAATTAGGTATTTCTAAATTATGAGATTCACACAAAAGTTTCAGTGGAAACTTGCTCAATTATATGATATTGTATCTGTACAATCATACGGAAGTGTAGGGTTGTAGTACAGTGCGAACCCCATCACACCCTCTACCATCAAGATGTTGCACACACTGGAACTAACAATTTTTGAAATTACGCAAAGGTGAGCGCTCAAACAACAGCAACTGAAGAGGGAGTTCCACCATACTCTTTGCAATCTACACTGCCTGCTTCTGGAAGCACCGTCGTATAATTTATCGTCTCGTTCATACCACCTCACATGTCCCGGTGAGCCTCTGAGACAAGCGCGGTCCTTGCGACAGACACCCTCGATATTACTCGGTACGGAGGCCAAGGTCTTCATTCATGAGAAGGATGCAGCGGATATCCGAGTCCTAACAACCCCGTTCTCACCTGGAAAAATACAAAGGGGTAAACCACCGTACTGCTCTCAGCCTCTTCTCAGCACGAATTAAAAAATTATGCTTTTTCCGTAGGTGGGTCGTGTGCCGACAGTCCACCGTCTCTCACGACGTATTCTAGCCTGTCCTTAACAAGCTAGATCTTACTCAAGAAGCCCTACCTACATAGATGCAGCCGTAAATATTATACGGTTTTGAAGAGTGTTCAGACCCCCCCCACATCATAACGCTTTACGAGTATTAACAAAGTATAGAGGATTATGCCGAAGTTAGCGTAAAAACATATCACATATAGCTCTTCATTCTAGCAGTTTTTTTGTCGCCTCAAAGCAGTTGGTACATCTATCGACCTAGTATTGAACTATCCAAAGTTTTGGTCATTACTCGTAAGCATTGAGCACGCTACAACAACGACCCTGATTTTTCTATTGGGGTGCTAATGGACGAGTAGACGGGCGTGAGATCCCAACATATCATGATATTTTTGAGGGAGGATGATCGATCCAATTCTGGGTCCAGGGCTGGTGTACCCACCCGGTCACTAGATGGTGCAGATGAGAATATATTCATTCTTTGTTTATCGAGCAGAACTAGCAGAAACCGACCCTCCGGCGGCTGGTTCTCCTGATCATTCTTGGCCGTAGCGGCGCGAACACCCCGTCCAGTAATTTTAACACGCGTCCAACGATGAGGTGGGTATGATCGTGATTTCGCTCTTTCAGCTTCGTCATCGCACGACATGGCTTTAGACATCTTATCAGTTTAATACTGTGTTTTTGCTACAGCAGAGGGTAGCTCAGCCGTTGGTGGAAGTAAGGATGCTGCATCAGCATCAACAGAGCGCACCACATCTGCCTGGCTTGTAAGAGCGGAAGTGTGATAAGACTTCGGTAGAACCTAAGATAAGCTCGCATACATCATGGATATTCAATGAACAAGTGAACCCGGATTCGCTACGTCCGATAAATTGCTGTCGCGACTCAGTATTTAGACTACAAACACTGCATGTTTAGATAGCAAGTTAATTTGGGAGAATGTTTTGTCCCACTACATTTTAGAGCGTGTTTCGCATACCCTAGGTGCTGGCATTTCCTCTCGCACATAAGACTATCTGTCATAGCGTCATGTACTCAGCGCACGACGCTCAAACTCACCAAATGAAATCTCTATTTCGCTGCAAAGTATTGCCGGGCTGATTTCAAAAGGCCGATTTTTAGGGACAACCTTTCCCCACTTTTACTTCAACCACTCAGTAGCTGTGTCAATGTATCCAAGAATTTACCAACCAAATTTAAAAATATGGAAGATAAACTGTACGGACATGTACTGAGTTATATCACGCAAACTCAATGATCGGGAACAACAGGCTCCATCATCGCAGTCTTTCTGCGCAAGTGCTCCGAACGATATTTATCAAAACGAAGTTTACACGTTCGTACGACCGACTGTGTGCGTATGGTCGGCAGTTGACATATCCAAGCAGCTGATGCTTAACACCTTAAATAATGTGTCCAAAACTTCGCTGGGAATGGCTCCGAAACATTGACCATACAAACCATGTTGGCGAAAGGCTTTTCCAAGAAACAAGTAAGATATTTTATTCCCAGTTACGGTATCACTGACAGCAGCAAAATCAGCCATCGTTTTCAGCCGCTCTTCAAAGACCAAAATACTGGTATGATCCGGCACATTTGAAAGAGCGAAAGGGATTTGATACTGATGAACTGACAACAGTCTGTCCAGACCAACAGATTGTCAAAAGGCGTTAAAGAATACGATGGGGTGTAAACTGTTGACCTTTTCTCACATATTTTGTTGCCATTTATGCGTGTTTGGCCATCAAAACATATAGCTCGCCATGCAGTATGTACTACCTCTTCGGAGGTGGTCACCCACAGAATATCATGTATTTCGTACATTATTTTGTATAGGACGCCCCGATCATGAGGCACCACTACACACTGATTGTGGGTCAGTGCTTTATTACGACAAGCTTCGTAGCACATATCTAAGCGCGCACTCAAATTAGCAATCCATGAGCTCACAAACTTCTTGCTTTCCAAAGCTCTCAACAACTTAGCACATTGTTGCTATCGACCAGTATCTTTTCATCAAATGGCGACGTCACCATCGTGGCATGTGACGGGTAATAGTCGAGGCGACGTGAAAGCGCTTTCACCATAAAAGCCCGTCCGGCTCATATCTTAACTTAGAGGCATACTCAGCAAAAAAGGAAAATCGATTTACTAGGTATGTCGACTACAAAATGGCTGAGCGTCTATCCGGTGTACCCTACTTACATACAGAGCATAATTTCAGCAGGTAATTTCAGCCATTGACTGGGACTCATTTCACCGCAATTACGCTGGAGCCGCGATACACAATCCTAACCTATGTTTATAATGCTGGTCATTCCCGCTTTTGCATTCCAAGCTCTGCTCCAGGCACATAGCACTATTTTTGTCAGACAATATGGAGACTTATATGTTCGCGCTGAGGCTTTTCCTGCTCGCGCAAAAAGCGCCTCTACTTCCCGTCAGTAGTGAAATAATGATTTGCCAGAGCTTCAGCAGGAGAACAGAGCGAGTCACCGATTGTAGTTGATTCCTAGTCAATCCTTGTCTTATGGTGCTAAAGCAACTAAAGTGATATTATATCTCAAACTCAGACCCTGGACTAGATGCTGTCTATGGTTTAGCAACACCTTCGACATGTTTTTGTCAAAAGATGCACATATATCAATATAGTACTTGCAATCCTCAAGGCTTTGTGTGTTGGCTACTGATTATTGCAGTATTAAGTCATCCGTAATTGTTCGTATCTCCCGAGCCTATTGAGAATTTTCACGGTTCCGAAAAGCCCAATAGATTGATGTTGGTAATGAGTCCTAGGTTGATAGTTCCGCAGCATGAGGAGATAGCCGAAAGCTAGATATAGTAATACCCGTTTTTTTCTTATTGGGCGTTCTACGCATACTAATCACTAAAATTCCCTCGAGTTTTTGGTGCTACTACAGATAAAAAATCGCGAGCTGATCAAAAATGAAACTGCTGTTATCTTTATCCACATCTAGACCCTTCAAATTCGTTGTATTTGACGCGCTTGTAGATGTTTTATTTATGATTGCCAACCTTCCCTCAACGCGGAAATTATGATTCGCATTCAATGCACGAAAAAGGCTTACTTGAAAGAGATGTGGTGGAAGATGCTATTCACGGCTGTACAAAGGCATACATGGAAAAGGAATCGTTAACTCCTACAGAGTAGGGACTGCAGCTATCGTGGCAACCAGAGCTCTCAAGGCTTGGGCATAGTTCTCCAGCTCCGCCTCGCTTGGCAGGTGGAACAAAGCTGGAGCGCACACGATTTGCTGGAGTAGCCAGTGTAGACACCCGCGACATCCGTTTCGTAGCACATTGCATTTCAGAAGTGCCTCTATTTATAATCCACTGCACCTTAGTATTATTCTCGCGCGCGACATTTGGGCATCTTTAGCGCGATGCATTAGCTCATACATGGCCAAACCATAATTCTTCAGGGACAAAAAACTTTCATATTCTCGCCGTCAAAGGCCTGCAAGGTTACCATAAGCGGCCTCACACTATGAGCCGGTTGTGCTCCCACCATCGCCTATTTAAGGCGTTTTTGGAGGTCACGCCAGCGCATATATATTTGTGAACGCCCCCGGACAAGCTACAACCGTTTTCGACCTTTGGGCCTACATATGTGTTAGTTTTTTTGGTTTTACTACTGTGACGAACAATTCTAGCGTGTCTGACTGACTGGAAGATAGAAATCCGCGCAACAAACTAGTCCGCACAAAGGATACGATCCAGTAAGACTCGACCGTCAACAAGTGCAACCAAAAGCAACAGGTTTGTCGTACACCTCATACAAGACATTAATGCTTTTGGAATACCAATACTACAATTACAATTCGCCCGAGGCCCACAACCCCCTTCTATCAGGACAATGTCATTTGGAGATAGCGAATCCTTATCTACACAAAGAATGCGGTGAAGCAGTCTACGTTTTCTAGGTGGTTGGGACGTAATATATGTGTCCAATACGTACATTCCACATTTATCCTCGATCTTTCCAAAAGTACTATTATCTTGATGAAATCTTCTGAGTTATATATAACTTATATATAAACTCCTGACTTGCACTTAGTACGAATAAGGTGATGGGACTCCGTCAAGAAGTCCGAAAGGCACGTGGGCTGCTAGTCTCACGCTACGCGTTATATTTGGTTTCATTGTGATAAACATTTTTAGTGCCATTTAAAAGCTATACTTTATGTTGATATATCCTTCAGCAACCGAAGAACTTGGATTCTCGGTTGGATGCCTAGGTGGCTCCCAGTGAGCCCGACTAGTAGGCTCAAAGCAGCATAACCGAGTTATGTTCGAAATCGTGAAGGTCTATGTCAATGATGCAACGGATATGCCGTGCACTTAACGCAAGAAAAGAATTTATTCAGAGAGCTCGCGTTCACAAAATTTGTGAACGCGAGCTCTCTAATGCCCGAGGGTGGGTTTCTGCGCTCGTACAAGGAGCAAAACCAAGAGCTTTTGAAACAGCTTACACGATTAGTTAGTAGTTCACTCTGATAATTCATTAGTCCATAGATATTTGGAATCAAATCTGTTCAGATTGATGCAATAATATGCGCTTTATTTTAATTTGTCTTGGTTTACGCCTAGCAGTCCGTAATCTTAATGAATACCGACATTTTTTTCCGTTCCTAGAAAGATTCACATTAACACCAAGTGAAGTGCAAAAAATTATTCATAAACGAAAAGTGCTTTCTATCACATCAGGTTCTCAGATTGCGCTTGACGAGATGCTGCAAATTCCTGTTTCCTTTCGACCTGCGCTAAGCCGCGCGTTCTCTTCAACCGCGACCTATGTGCAGGACACGATTATTCCAACCTATCACTTTCAAAAGAGCTTAATGCGTCTTCCCATTCCAAAGCTCAAGGATACGTTAGCTCGCTACTTGGCTGCTGTTGAGCCCGTCGTAACGCCTCAGCAACTAAAGGAAACTAAGCGTGCGGTTGCAGACTTTCAGAATGGTTTAGGTCCAACGTTACATCACGCACTACTAGCTCGTGATGCTGCCAATAAGCATACGTCGTATATTAATCAATGGTGGCTTGAAATGTACCTTGACGATCGGCAGCCGCTCCCGATAAATTACAATCCACAGATAAAGCTCAAAATGGATCCTGTTGCGGCAAAAAACTCTCAGAATCAACGTGCGGCATCGTTGATTGCATCTACTGTCCGTGTATATTGTACACTCCGCGACAAGAAGCTTGAGCCCGATATCTTTCACACGAAACCGGATCTTAGTCGAATGAAAGCTTTTCAGTACTTTTGTAAGTTATTGCCAGAACGCATGAGTTTCTATGGAGCTGCTGCTTTTGGGGCGTACCCACTTGACATGTCACAGTACAAACACTTGTTTTCCAGTACGAGAGTGCCGAGACTAGGACGAGATGAGCTTAAAGTCACGCCTGATTCCACACATGTGGTCGTACAACGAGGTACGAAATTCTACACGTTTGATGTGCTCACTGCAGATGGCAAAGCGATTCCTGATGAGAGCATTCTGGCTTATATTGACGCCATTTTGGCTCAGCCGTTGACCCAAAGCACGCCTGACCAGCCAGGAATGGGCCTTTTAACGACTATGAACCGTGATGCGTGGGCCAACGCTCGTCAGAAACTTAAGGCATATGATGGTGTTAATAAGGACAGCTTGGAGCTGATTGATAGTGCGCTATTTGTCGTGTGTCTAGAGCACGAGTCTCCTTCCACCGTGGAAGCAGAGAGCAGGTGCTTCTTGGCTGGTGATGGTTCGAATCATTGGTTTGATAAGAGCTTTCAGCTGATTGTTGCTGCTAATGGCATGGCTTCAGTGAGCTTTGAGCATGCTTGGGGAGATGGTGTGGCCGTTTTGCGCTACCTTAATGAGCTATACAATGACAGTGTCAAGTATCCAGTGCTTAAAGCGAGTACACAGGCAAGAGTTAAAGAACTCTCTTGGGATGTTAACGGCGAGATAAAACAATTGCTGAACGAGGCGAAACAAACGTACAATAAGTGGGTCTCAACCTTGGTGACTGCGTGTGCAGAGACTCCGGTGACAAGGGCTGTTGGTAAGCAGTATGACATTGGCACGGACGGACTCATGCAGATGACGATCCAACTAGCGCACTTTAAATTGCATCAAACGTTTGTTGCCACGTACGAAAGCGCTAGCACAGCGGCATTTAAACACGGACGCACTGAAACTGTGCGCAGTTGCACAAACGAAGCCGTTAATTTCGTACGTACTATGATGAATCCGTCGGCATCGGACGCAGAAAAGGTTGCTGCGTTGCGAACTGCTGTCAACAAACACAGCGAGCTTACGAAGAATGGCGTCATGGGTCAAGGCTTTGACCGCCATCTCTTTGCTCTGCGAGCTATGGCTGACATAGAAGGCGTTAATGTACCTGATTTCTACACGCTACCAAGTCATGAAATTATGAGTAAAATCATCCTGTCCACTAGCACTTTGTCGAGTCCGGCGCTTGAGGGTGGCAGCTTTGGTCCTGTTAACAAAGACTGTTACGGCATTGGGTACGGAATTGAAAAAGAGGGGTCGGCTTTCCAGCTTTCTAGCTACCGCAAGGATTTACCTCAGCTTAAAGAGCTATTAGTGGATAGTCTTATTGAATTGGAACGCTTGTTGGCTGACACAACACCAAAGTAAGCATGAGCTTTCACAAAATGAAACAGCAACGCGTTGCTTTCTACAATTATTGTGCTGTTTCCGCCTCATTTCATCTAATGCTGTAATAAACAATGCAAACAATACACTCACATTTTATTTTCTTATCATCTTCGTCGTTGTTGTTTTGGAGTACGTGGACGACCTCCGCTCATGGGGCGCTCCCCATTTCCTGGTCGCTTATTTCCAGCCGCTGGACCAAAATTAGAGCCAGAACTTGGCATTCGACCTGTGCTCCGATCTCTCCATGCCTGCCCGCTTGGATTTTGTATGTTTCCTCCACCAGGTTGTCCTCGATTTCGATTGTCTCGTGCAAAACTAAAATCTCCAGAATTGTTACGATCGTTACGTCGTTGAGGTTGCTGCTGTGCATCTCGTGAGCTTTGGTGGCTACGACTACGCGAGTCTCCCTCTCGATTACGATGGTCGTTATGATGTTGTAAAGGGCGATTCACTGGATTGTCGCGAAAAGGACTGGACGCGCCCCCTTCAGCTCCAGTGACAGCTTCTTTTTTGCTTCTCCAAGGAAGTGCATCGTCCGCTACAGGTTCAACGGTCTGCGTACGAAAGGAGACAGGTTCTTTGCCAGGTTCATCAAACGCCCAATCTCGAGGTTCAGGCTCCTATTCAGCTCGAAATGTACAACGGTCAAGCTAGATGTATCAGTCGCAGACTACCGACAAAGGACTTACAATCTCTTTGAAGTACTCATGTTGAAGCGCTTCTTTAGCCGTAATGCGTGTTTCAGGGTCTGTATGAGGCAAACATATGCACAAATTGCTTAGAATAACTCAATTTTACAAGGGCAAATAATGAATGTATACCATATTCTAAAAGTCTTGAAAGGAGATCAAGTAACGCTGCGCCAGCACGGCCCGGACCAACTTTGACTGCATTTTTCAACTCCGACTGCGTCGGGTACTTTCGTTCTCGTCCCATCTGCACGAGGTGATTGTATTCAGGAAGATTCTCTAATCCTTCCCAAGACTGCGAAGTCGGCATACCTAAAACTCTAAAAATTTTATCCAGCTGATCTTTTTGAAACGGTGCATTTGACCCTTCCACCTCTTTACCACAGAACAGCTCGCGGGTATTAATCAACTCGACGAAAATGCAGCCCACAGCCCATAAATCCACTGCTTTTGTGTAATGTTTTGCTCCCAGTAGCAACTCAGGCGCTCGATACCAGAGCGTCACGACTACACGCTCAACATCAGTTAATGCTTTGATCGGCTCTTTGTAAATACGTGCTAGACCTAAATCTTCAGATTTACCAAATTTTGACACAAAATGACGATTTCAAATGTGCAATAATTGCAGTAATCGACAATGCTTGACAAACCTGCTAATTTGACTTGACCCCTCTTACGTCCATGACCAACCACCAGGATATTTTGCGGCTTCATGTCTCGATGCATGACCCACGCGTCGTGCATATAGTCTACCCCCTTTAATATTTGGTACATCAGTGACTTGCGCGTGTACTCGCCCAAAGGCTTTTGTTTGCTCTGTACGATGATGTCGTGCAGATCGTGATCTCCGTACTCAAATACGAGGGCCAATAATTTCTCCCTTGGATCCACATGCACATCATGGAGATGGACGACGTTGTCATGATGCAGCTCTCGCAATAATTTAATTTCTCGAATGGTAGCACTCGACAAAACCACGTCGTTTTTGCCCTCTTTATGAGACTTGACTAGCTTAATAGCGAACGTCATGGGCTCCTCGTCCTCTGAAGCGTTCGTTCCACCAACAGATGGACGTGGAAGCAACGCTGCTGAGTAAGCCTCAGCTTTGAACACCATACCATATGTACCTTCGCCAATTTTGCCTAGAATGCGGTACTTATCCGTCAGGCTTTCAGGCCTTCGCAAAGCCGAGCGTCGCATTGTACAATTTGAAGATTGGAATGCGGTTAAAGAAACATGACAATAGAGGGGGCAAGGTATCATTTCATGCAGGTATTATACAAATCTATATTGTAGTCTTGCTGATTATTACGTTGACAATCTTACTTTATTAATGATGTAAGCAAAAGAAAGATCATTCCAACCTATTTACTCACATGAGCTCGACAACCGTCTTGACACTACTCACTGTAGTTTAGATATTTCACTGGTACGAATTGGAAGCATCATACGTACTAACATAAAAATACCGACATAAAGGCTCTTCTCTATTTGAGGACAATGATGCGTTTGGGTATGAGAAAGTTAAGATTGAAACAGAATCCAATATTAAAAATGCTATCAGTGCGTTCTTTAGACATTTCAATCAATGCAGGTGTCGTCTTTGCGAGTTACTGCTCCTGCAGTCTACTTTTGGAATCTCAATGAACAGCGTGGTAGCAAGTCGCTTGAGTAAAAGAGTATATATGATCTACGAGGTCTTTACCATTCACGGAACGTTTCTGCAAGTTATTTTTTTCTAGAAAAGCACGTGCATTTAGTCTTACGCGCTTCTATATTTCAAGCTCATCTGACAGTTGTGTAAGAAAGAACAATAAGAACTTTAAGCTAGGTGAGGATTACGTTTACAGTTACAGTACAACATAGCAGCTTTGCACGACACTTAATTCAACTGTTTAGCAGTCTCATTAGTGAGCGTACAATCTTTGGAGAAAGAAAGGAGCGTTGACGCGGCATAATCACCTAAGGCCTCCACCTTCTGCAAATAAGGAGCTGCGATAATGTGCGAACGAATTTATGAGCCGTCCTCCCTGATCAGCACATTCAATACTCAGTCTGATAATATTTTGTAGACCCCCAGCCTCATCGTACCAGTCAGATGTCATTCCAAAATAATCTTCCATCGCGTCCTCTCCATCTTCGTCCGTGGAAGTTGACTCATCCATCACTTCATCATCCACTTCGCTATCGTATGTCAAGCTTTTTGTACGGAAAGCAATTAAACTCCAGCAACAACCACAATACCAATCTGGTGACACTTACCCTTTGCAAAGACACGTAAAGTAAAGCACTTTCTTCTGCATCTTATTGTAGAAAAAGTAGTTAAAGGACCACCTGCATACGTGTAAAACAATTGAAGACTTTACAAATGACTTCTTGTCACAATCAAAATAAAAATACACGTACAAATTCCCATCCGAGAACGGGTCTGAGTCCATGTCTGGTATGTAGCTATAAACGTCACACTCGTCAAGCTTAATGGCCTCGGCAATTGCTTCCCACATCTTCTCCGCAAAACCATTACCCTCAGCGTCCAGTAATTCAGCCAAGTCGTGATTTATACGTTGCAATGCTATACGAAAGTCCGACTCCTTTCGGAATTGTCCAGGTCTAGCGGCGCTAAAGTCGTAATCAGGAAAGCTGGCATTCATTGTGGAAATGAGATTAATCAAAAGCTTGCGCGTAGCAGGAGCCGCGATCGGTCCCAAAGGGGATGAGCCTAAGAATTCAGCAGAAGCTTCAATTTCCTGCTGGTAATAAAGCTCCAGACTCTTGGCCAGACGTTTGTCGCTACCCGCCTTCTTGCACGAGTATGTCTCCAACTTTCCGTTTAATACACGATCACCAATCTCATAACTTCCCAGCACCGAGTTAAGCCACGATAATTGCGGTTCTTCAAGGTACTTCATCGTTGTTTAAACACGTAAATGACGATTTGCTTTCTTCTGTCGTTGTGATGTGCCGCTTCGGTGTCAAATCTTCTTTGTAAGGGAAATTGTAATTAATGTCACCATTTAAACTAAAGACACCAATCCACTTAGCGATTGGGTGTAAGAACAGAAACTTGCTGACTAGCGAATCTCTGAAAAGTGACAAGTGAGTTGCATTGAGTTCGCTATACGACAAGGACATTTCCTTGCTATTATTATTGCACCGCAAAGTTGTCATCTTCCTGCACTCAAAGACAGCATTTCCTTTTCTTACTCAATGATTTTACTGTAATCATTAAAATACCTCTTCTAACGGTTAAAATCGATTTTGTTACCTTCGCCACACCTTACTTGAAGGTGATACTTCGCTCAAGATCGACAGCGCGCTAACAGAGCGAGGTAATAGCATGGACGACACAGAGCAAGTGCAACTTACGAATCAGCAGCTACACAGTAAAGTGGCAGATCTAACAAGTGCATTGCTAGCACGGGATCTCGAGCTTGTGCGACTACGAGAACGCTGTCAGTTTCTTACCACTGCTGTGGAAAAGCAAGATAAGGTTATTGCTTCATTGTGCGCCGCAACGTTGCCAACCTCGATAAGTAATTATTCAAGTAACTCAAGACAGACAGAACAGAGAACGTCAATGAAGAGCTTTACGGGTGTATTGGGGATAACCGAGCCTGTGCATGAAATGGTTGAAAGTCAGTCGGATTTAAAAGGGTATAAGAACTTCGATACAAGAAACAAATCTAAAAAAGATGTGATTAAAATTAATCTGGATCAGATATCGTACTCACCTCGAACGGTTACGAATGAGAATGCGACACCTAGTGTCGACAGCTCGAGCAGTTTTGCGACCGCTTCGTCATCCTCATCACTGTTCGGTGACGTGGGGGAGCCAGTGACTAAGTTTTCGCGGTCAAAGTCTTCTCCTCAACGCGCATCGCTACTTAAGAGGCGCCCATCGCTTGAGCGGCAGGTCAGCAGTCCGACTAACGAAAGTTTTGCAAGTTCTGCAGGATTTCTTCGTAAGTCTAATCGCACCATGTCTGGACGCTTGAGTGTAAGTGATTTAGGACTTCTACACAATGATGACGGCGACGATATGGAGAGTAACCAAACTTTAGAAGATACGCATTTCAATCCTAGAAGACAATTTGAGGAAACGCTCAAAAGAGTAGAAGATACTTTGGACGTTGAGGAAAGAATAGGGCCGATGATATCAACAATAAGCCGAAGCCAGCGTAATCTTTTTGCTGATGTTGATGAGTCTATCCAGGCCAAAGCGAATCAAACTCAAGCAGACACTAACCCAGCAAACAACAGTAGCTCAGAAATAGATGGTCTTTCGTACGGTGAATTTTTGCAACGTATCAGTCTTCCTGCTTCTCGAGACATTCTAGACAAAATGCGTATGTTTGTTGGATCAATCTTGGGACCTCGGGGTGATGGACAACCTCCACGCTCGACGGATTACGTGGAATACGATTTTTACGGGCATCATGAATTTCGTCGTCGATGCAGTCAATTTTTTGTAAGCATGGACGACTTGTTACAAACCCACCCTGTCTGGTGCCATGCGTCCGAGACGATTCTGACAAAAGCTCGTGATGGCGTTGAAAAGTATGTTATGGACAGAGTATCCGACATTGCATTTAATCAGCTTCAGGAATGCCAACAGTGGATGGAAGAAGATAAAAATTTGCTAAGACGCATGAAACTATTATCGGTAAGCTGCACTTTAGATATCCTTGGCACACTTTTCGGTACCTATTCTGATATTGAGATAGTTTATAACGCCTGCGATGTTAGACATTAAGCCGTGTATTCGCAATGAGGTGGTGTGGTCGATGGCAGAAGACGAATTACGACGTATTAATCAATTTTGCTCACCAGGGGACAAGATTAATTGTATAGTGCGGTGTTGTAGCGTAATTTTTAGCGTCCTCAACCTTTCGAGAGGAGACTCTGGCAGTCGCCCTGGTGCCGATGACTTTTTGCCAGTATTTATTTACATCGTACTTCACTCGCGAATCTCTCGATTGTGTTCCAATTGCGAGTATATTTCAGCTTATCGAAATCAAGCCGATCTCATGTCGAAGTAAGGTTTTGTAGGGAAAGACGGATGAGAACTTATTTATACTAATTATGCTGTTGTGTCGCTTGTTAGAGCGGGATACTGCTTCGTGAACTTGCGTAGTGCCATTGAGTTTATAATGGTAATGGATGGGTCAATGCTGTCGATCTCGGATGGCGAATTCCAAAGGTAAGAAACCATGATTAAGCTGTCAATGATGCATAAATTCGATTGGCGCTTATCCTCGTGTTGAGTGCAAATAGGTTGTACATTGAACAAGAGAAGCTGTTGTTGAAGGCTTGAAACAAAATTAATAGCGAACTTCGATTTTGATTTGGTATTTGAAGACGTAGGATACTCGAACAATGATCATCAGCGGAACGTTTGGTTGACTCCATTGTCGTGGCTGACTGTCGTTGCAGGATTTTAAAGGTTGTAGACCTGATAACACTAAGTCGTCTCATTGCATTTGCCTCCACTCTCAAATTTTTGAAAGGTTTACTATTTATCGATTCTATTACTGGTTCATGTGCCACGATGATCTATGAGGGGGGCAAATAGCTCATTCCTACACTAAGCGTTTGATGGATCATCGGATTTCGAAAATTCAAAATCTGATAAAGCGAAAGAGGGAAATTTGAAACTGTGCGACGCGGATCATATGCCTATAACTTCTCAATTGCAAACACACACCCTGGACCTACACGCAAAGAACGGCGGGTCGGTTAGATGCAATTCTTCTTATCTAGTGTTAGTATTAACTGATTGTTTTTTATATTATCACAAGCTTGAAGGTAATTGAACAGTAAATTATGGAACAAATTCCCTAATTGATGTGAAGTCGGCAATTGTGCTGCCCAAAACGCAGAGAAGTACATTTTTTGCAATGTTACTACTGTATGTCTAAAGTTGTAAGCAATGAACATTCTACAAATACTTTTGACTGGGCGTGAGCACTTAAAACTAGCCGTTTGAACCAAATATCGATTAACATATCCTATGCATAAATACACATAAAGCAAGACGTCGCTTGTACAATAACGGGGTTTACGTTTGGCAATCGGCAGTACGACGTAGCTAATACATTACGTAAAAATTACACAGAGATGAATTTATCTCAGAAATTGAATACCGCCATCAAAGCTTATAGTACAGATAGAATGGCCAGAGTGGTGGAGCGCATTATGTACATGATCACCCAAAGGAATACATTTCTGAGGTGTAGGTAGAGGAGATATATTAGTGTAATGACGATTGTACTACGCTTAACCACTTCTATGTCGCCTTTCGCACTGGCTATGATGCTCTCTTTAATCATTGGTAATACAACTGACGACCTTCTTAAAACAGATAAAGCGTGTAAGAAATTCTTAATTAGATTATTCTGACTATATCTTCTAAAAAATGTTTGTTCAGATATGGAACTTGCACTGCTGCTGTGTGATATCTGCGTCTAACATTGAAACGAGCACCAATTACGATGCTATTTTATTCATTGAGCTTATTCAGATCATCTTTACAATCTTCCAGTCTCATTTACCTGACCAAGACAAGAAGCATCTCCCTCTACAGCAATATCATTTTCGGGGGGTGGGATCACAAAATTTACATCCCCAGATGTGCATTTGGTTTTGACATGTGCTAGCACACTCATTCTACAATCAAACTGCCATTCAATCATTGACACCTTGTAGACTTACTAGCATTTTCCAACAAAACAAACAGAATCGTAATCGACAATGGTTAGCGCTTGCCACGTTGTCATCTTCGCGTCTTTAGCACTTTTAAGGTCTACGGAAGCACAGGTCGTCGATTTTCGTGAACAAATGTTGAAAGAGATAAATAAAGTCCGAAAAGAAAAATCACTTGATGATCTGTGCATTAACGACAAGGTAATGGATGCAGCGCAAATCCAGGCGAATGACATGGCTGAAAACAATTTTGTCAATAGCAAGGGATCGGATGGATCGTCGCCCAAGAGCCGCGCGGAGGTACAAGGTTTCATTGCTGACACTGTCACGGAAACCGTGGCTGTTGGTTATCCGACGACGCAAGCTGTTGTTGCTGCATGGGCCAAGTCTGCAACTGCTGGAAATACCCTTTTGAGTGGTGACGTTACCGTGGTTGGTGCTGGGTACGCGTTCGACATGACGAAGAAATTTGTGCACTTTTGGGCCGTTGACTATTCTGTGGGCGAATGCGGCGACGGTGCTGCAACAAATGGTACGACTACTTCTGATGCTTCTACTCCAGCCTCGAGTGAAGAAGAGTCGGAGGTTGAAGATGGCAGCGACGAACGTACTATAACTACTGCCGGTACTCCATCTACAAATGGTGGAGCGGCGACCCCTACTGCCAATCCAACCACAAGTAATGGTGGTGCAGGAACACCGCCCGGAAGTACTCCTAATGCTGCTCCCGCCTCGAGCGGCGATGGAACTCCAATCCCTGCAGATGACGATGAGCCTCCTCCTGCGACACCAGAAATTCCCCCTGCACCTGCTACTGAAAACCTTCTTTCTGCTCCTCCTGCTGAGGAAAGTCTATTAGCTACTCCTGTCAGTGCATAGAGAAGTCGAGTCAATTTTGGTCGTGAATGGGAGAACATTTAGCTGCAAGGGTTGCTGTCTTGCCATTTAGTCTAGTTTGAGCATGAGGTGGCTCGGAGACGCCACAACTTGTTGTTTGTAATAAAAGGCAGTATTTTTTTCTACCCAACAGTTCTATAATTTTAACATCGTGTATACAAGGGCATAAAGTTTATTTTTCAACAAAAGCAAAGATAACAACCTGCTAGATCATACTCATCCACGCGATTTACTCTGTTCCTTCACTAGTTACAACTTCGTGATGTGTACAATATACAATATAGAATAGATTTGTATGGCTTGTATCATCGTGACGGAGTGACGGAATTAAAGTTGTTATGCTCATATCCATGGAAATCTGCAGTCCCTAGGTTTTCTAATGTGGCATTCAAACTTAAAATATATTGGTACTTAATTGTATTGTCTAAATAACAGCGCACTTCACGTAAATAATGTAATCCTATTTCTAGAAATCAAGATAAAGTAGAATATGTGATGTCCAGCATCACTCTGGTACGGTCGAATGAGCTTCCAGTCCCAAATTCGTATCAGGACGACGTTTCAAAGGTGTGAACGCCGGGGTACCGAATGACTCTACCTCACGACAACGTTTGGACGGAGTTTTCACGGGTGCGTCTAACGCATCTGTCGTCGCATAGATGGCATCATCGACGAGCTTCATGGTCGCAATGCTATCAAATACCCACTGATTGTACGACGTCAGATATGAGCATGAAAGATTCCAAATAATGTCATTCATACCTTCGACGTGACTGCTCGAATTCCCATTCGCTGAGCTCTTTTCAGCAAAGAAGCATCGCCGCATATACAAATGTCTGCTACCGAGATCTGGTTGCAAATCTATCATTTTCAATTAAAGAAAACGCGATAAGCGATCAATTTCAAAGTAGATAATCTGAATTGCTTACCTCGCCACCAGCGACTTGGATGAGAGACTGAAGCACTTCGCGTGATGGCTCGACTTTTGAGCCAACAAAAAACTTAGTAGCCTTGAATAATTGCCGAAACTCGGGATGCTCGCGCGAGTATTTGTTAGCGAATATCGTGACTTCGTAATCTTCTTCCGGCAGCCACCGTTCTTGCTCGAGTGACGAGAAAACCCAATCTTCCGTCACAATCCAAGCGCCACGAGCAATCGCAAAGAGCACTTTCATTGTGCGTCTAGCATCCCTTCCAACAATTAGGTGCGTTACTCCAGCAGCATAGTCGACACTTTTGACTACCCGCGCTTTTTTATATCCATCCTCGTTTGCCATATTGGCGTCAATAGCGTGAATAGCGCACTGAAGCACTCCACGGGTTTCTGAACTCACACCGGTAATCCCAAAAATATTGCGAGATCTTTTTCGGGTTGTCGTTCTGTTTGTAGTACTTGAAAAACTCATTGCCATCGGAATTGGGGTCGAATTTCCCTCTCGATGTTTCCTTATGAATCCAGAGACCGAGCCAGGGGTTGCCAAGGGCCTTTGACCTATGGTAGTCTCGTGAGTGCTATCTTGTCGCCCTTTTTTAAGAACTGGGGTAGCCAGCCTATTGTTTAGTGCAGGCGAGCGCGCGCGCTTTTTCGTATTTCGTCCACTGCTCCGACGGTCCATGGCTTTCAGAGGTATTTTCGGCTGCACGTCAAGCGATACGGGACCAGGAGCCAACGTGTAGCGCGTGGCCTGATTAGACGCAGAACTAAGTACCGTTGGACTTTGTTTTTGCACTTCAATCGCAGCATGAAGAGATTTAATCTTGGTATCTGACGGTATCGTTCGCACTGCTGTCGAAATCGAATTTCGGGTCTTTGCAGCCGAACTAACAGTCGGCCGCATCAAACAATTTGAAGCTCGTTCAGCTGCCGATGGACGGTTGATCATCGTTACACTGCTCGCGTCTTCAGGTGTAACAGATTTTTCTGCTGTTGAGGTTTTTGAGGTTAAAGTACTTGTGGAAGGCGTAGCAGGAGTCTTCAGCGAGTGTTCTTTGGTGTCTCCGACTGCTGCAGGCGAGACAGTAGCAATATTTCCATTTAGTGACTTCGTCGAGCCCCTCGAAACTTGGCAGTCGGAGCAATGTCTTTGTGAGCCAGGATTCGAGCAGCCACAAACTCCACATGACCATATTCCCGACTTCAGCATCAGTCCACTACCATAAGTCAGCGATGACCTATTTTTACGCCGCAGTTCTCGAGCGGTCGGTTCCTGTTTAGAGTCGTGATTGGAAGGTGTAAGATTGGAGTCACCGCTGCTGGTTGCGGGAGTGCTGCTTGAAGGTGACAAGCACCCAGATTCGATGCGCGGGGCTGGTGAAGTCTGACGACCAGAGTGAATGTTCTGAGTTACTGCATCTTTAATCACCTTCTCATTGCCATCATTTTGATGATCTGACTCGCTCTCGGCGACAAACTCACTTGCCTGTGACACTGTTACTTCGTCTTCAACCAGCTGTGTTAACGGTCCATTAAGCGTCTTTCTTCGCTTAGCCGAAGAGCTGACACACTTGGATTGAATTGTTTGTTTCTTGGGTGTATCAAGCACTTTCCTTAATGTATTTATCTCTGCCACTTCGATCGCTGATCCAAGTATCTTAATTATTGCATCCGAAGTCATGGGCTCCATTGACAGCGCTCGCTTTCTACTGCTTTTATTCATGGCCTTCAAATTCTTGTAATTTGACAAGGGTGTGGTTGCAGCTTCCTTGCTAATCGCATCTGTCGTACTTTTCTGCTTCACAGTGGTCAATTTGCTCACAGGAAAAAACGGACGCTCATCCATACAACGTTTGCTCACAAAACAAGCATTTACCCAGAGCTGAGATACGATTTTTAAACCATAGCGTGCTGCGGCTGCGGCCATAGAGCCGCCACTTCCCTGCCACTTAAGGATCTTAGTCTTCCAAGCAGGCGTAAAATGACTCAACACAACGTGTGTAATCTTCGGCGTAAGACGCTTTACGGTAGATGCTCCCATCTCACGAAGCTTGCGAGAGACAACGTCGCTGCAGTCGATTTGCGCTTCACCACCAACGCGGACGTCGACGATGGCAACTACACCCTTCAATGGTCCAGTTTCGCGAGGTCGAGGACGGACCGATGCTTTAGACGTTTTGGGAGCACTGGACGACGTATGCGCACTCATCCGTGCAGAACGCGGCGCCAGAGATAAAGAGGCGGATACTGCGGTCACCATAATGTAGAAAGGAAGAATGAACTCACTACCTTCTTGTTCCGGACCAAATTTAAAAGTGGTGTTCCCGCGCAGAAAGAAATGTCTAAACAGAGAACATTCGAATAAGTACGAATTAAGTAGATACGTCCGCGGTTTCGTACGCAAAATTAGCATCAAATCGTCTCGCGACTATATTTACCAATCTTACGTGACTTTCATTTCGTCTTCATCGAAGACCTCACGTCGCTAATTGGGCGGTATATAGGCGAGCTAGCCACTCGATGAACGTCTTGACCCGATTGACATGAATTGGTTTTCTACTTCTGTACGCATCTCCGGGACTGTGGGTTTGACTTAGTCGTGAGATGGCTCACGGTTTTGCTCCTGATCGGGGTCTGCAACACGATATAAGCACCTATTATATCGGGAAGCATGTGCTAAACAATACAAGTCGTATGTGGTGGCAACAGCATATCTGTAGACATATTGGACCTGTTCAAACCGCCGCCATGATACAAGCATGCCAAGTATGTATGACTAGCCACAAACAGATAAATGTGAAGGGGGATTACAGAGTTGCAGCGCGCCTATCTTTGGCTCGTTGAGTTCGCACTAACAAACGCACAAACGAATGCTATACGGGAGATAAGAAGCAGCTAAACTTTGAGATGTTATAAGAATGTTGGACTATCTGGAGTAATGAAATTCTAATGAACGCATTGCGGTAGCCATCGCGTCAAATGGATATCCTCTTTTTAGTTCAATCACAAAACATCGTGTTCCACTGCGAACTCGACCACCACGGTACTAGTCCCAAATTTGTCTACCCTCGCTCGAACTCCAAGGGGTAATTTTTCAATCTATACGTACATAACATTACAAAATACCTCTCTAATTAGCCATTAAGGTTACCTACCACCCATACGTTTAGTTGCAAGACCCAACAAACACACTTCAAAGTGCCTTCAGCTGCTAGCATACGTGCCTGATCAAAGAGAAAGCCGCTGGATAGGACGCGGTCCTTTAGTCGAGTCACACAGGCAAGGATAAAGAATAGAAATTATTTTTGGTTCTCACAAGATGCTTTCGCAGTTGTAGTCCCTGTGGCAAAAGTATCATCTCTATGTTGTCATTGGCACTGTTACCGGTGAAGATACATCCAAGCTGCTAGTAACCGAAGCTGTTAGCCAACATGGGTTGCCTACGGCAGCTGCTTGGATCGCGCTCACGTTTTACAGTGAACGGTTGGCAAGCTTATTTCGAGTGCTTGACATCTATCTTCACAGTGTAACATTCCACAAACAGTGGGTCAAACGGGACGCGTTGATCGCGTGGAAGGTGGTATCCCAGAGCACATAAGCCGATTTCCCACCGCGCTTTATCTATATTTACAACCTCCGCTTTACCGGTCGTCCCTAAGATGTTAAATCAGTAATCCTTCAAGCACCTAGATCATTAAGCTTCCTTTGTGCTACGCAATTCATGTTTGACAGACCTCACGCCTTTTTATCAATATTTACCATATCCCCGCGTTTCTCTGGCGCCCATACATATTTAATTAAGTCTTCAAAGGGATAGATTGATATGAACGAAGCTTGTTTTCATCGAACAAACGATAGCTTTATCCGAAAGGGATTAAGCGGCACGTGACAAGACCGCGGCGCTCATTGCAATCTTGCAATCAAGCCACCAAGAGTGTGGATGACAAACATGTTGATGCCATATATTTGACGTCCTCCCAAATCTGGAACACAATGTGGATTAAGTAGAGCTAAACTATGGTTTTCCATACAGATTCGAGGCGTACCTTTGGAGACGAATAAATATATCAACAGAATGCTTGCTGAAGTTCTTTCTGTGCCGAAGAAGCAAGTCAATTATAATATGCTAATCTGCTTAAGTTGGTTTGAGCAAATAAATCCTATTGTGGGTGAAGAAGGATAATTCTGGTACGAGGGCGAAAGGTTTGAGTTTTCACTTGGCAAGATTGCCTGGGAAACCTGACGCTTACACTTTGGCGCACATTTGTTATCGTTTAATTCGGGATAGCGGTACAGATGTGCGACGCAACGCGCTCTCTCTGGAGAGGGGCCAGCCTTGTTCCAATTTTACAAATGAGTTAGGAGCTGTATTGGCAGGCTCTTGCGCGTGAGCTTACTTAGTTCTAGTATGATGCTACAGCGTATCTAATTAATGCCGACGTACAAGCTTGACGCGGCCTCAACAGTTAACGCACTCAGACGTTTGTCACGTTGTCAGCAGCTGAGATATAAATCAAGTCACATGCGTTTTTAGCGCTTCCAGACGAGCTACAACGAGTCTGATTAATCCAGATACGTTGATTTGACGCAGCAGTAACGGTAAACTCACTCAAACGTTCGTCACGTTGTCAGCAGCTGCAGACTCGACACCAATGTCGTGTTATAAATCACAAAGCCAAGCATCATGCGACGTTCCAGTCAGATGCTCGTTTCTAAAGAACTGAGTTGAGGAGCCACAAAATGGCTAAAGCCACTTTATCAGTAACTGAGCCGTAAATCTCCCTATGCTGCATTTTTTTATGTAAAGTACTTTTAGATGACAACGACTGAAGTTTCCGGTGTTGATCTGGCCGTAAGAGGTACGACTGAAAAACTGTGACCCGCAAATTTGAAAGTACTGACGAAATAAGTGCCACGCAACGCATTGCACTGTCAAACTGAGCAACCCTACAGCGGTGCCCAGGCGGATTAAGTCTTTTTTCGATTCGCTTACCAAAGCCACACTCACGACGTGATAAAGTCGCTAGCGACCCCTGTTTTGATGTGCTTCACCAAGCAAGTTGGGTACTTCAAGCTAGGTTTGATTCCTCCGTAATGACACCACCCTTATTACCAGCTTTGCAGTGGGGGCTAATTTGCAACGGGATTGGGGGCGCGATGTGCGTAGATCACACGAAAGTGAGCGTTCTTGCTATCATTCCCAAGCCTTGAAGAGGCTACAATAGATGAAGAGTGGCAAAAATTCTAGAGAAGATGGAGGTGAAGAGTCAGGGTACAGTGAATCACTCTGACTACTCTCATCTTATAGAAACTCACCTTCCTGACCGAATAATCCTTCATTACCTCAGCCAGAAGGGGAACCACCCATATATTATGCTACTTGATCCATGATCTCCAGCAAGTAGTCAAATGGAAACTTTTCGGCATGGATGTTGCTGGCGCTGTAAGCCTTGAGAGGAAACTTAGACCGAGAAAAGTTTGCGATCCAATCGACCTTCATGTCTTGTGGAAAGGAAGGTTTAACGGGTAAGTATCTTTATATAATGTGTGTTTGCATTTACACTGATTTTACGGACTTGAAGCAAAGCTCAAAGGCAATATGACTATTTGAGAGATCGAGTATCGTAATAGAAAAGAAACATTTAGTTCGAGACACGATATCAGGGCGGTGATATTGTCGAACGAACAGCTCCGTAGAGCACGGGAGGCTGGCTTCACATTTATATTGTTATCTTATCGATTGCTTGCGTAAGTAATTTGCTAAAAATGATTCCCAGTGTCGTTTATTATTAATATGACTACTCTTTGGCCAGCATCGTCTTGTACTTTGCATTTGAGTCGATCATAGCTTTGCGTTCGAGCGATGGCTTTTGGATCCTACTTGTTGCGTTTTGTTTTGTAAAAATTTCGATGCAGAAAAAACTGTGTAAGTTGCTACGGCAACCTCGTTTCACATCACGGTTTCTGGCATTTTTTGCATAGAATTTTTGATTAACTGCGAGCTTAAAACAGATCCCTGACATAAAAAATCTATGCCTACTATTGTCGATTGACCCACATGCAATGATAATTTCTTCGGCTTGCTTAGTCAATCATGCAATATATTTAGACGTTTGGCTGTGAATCTTGTGTGCATTAATGCCTTAGTCTGTTTGTGTATGGCTACAGTACAAACAAGTGTCAGTAATGTGCGATTAAAGCTAAATATTTCATAGTACCTTAAATCAAGGTAGACTTAGCTATTAAGTACTTAACGGCTCCAGAATAGGAAGATATTTTTTTCGCTAGGTTGACGAGTCCCTTCGATACTTTGATAGTTGGATTGTCAAGGTCTGTCTATATTACTCTATAAAGAACATTGAAAATGATGTTGCAGAGTGCTGCAACCATTTTGAAAAACGGAAGGTCGCATACCGAACCAAACCTACCACGACTCTTGTAGATACCTGTAGCCCCAGGTACTACCAATAGTCTGCTGCTGCTTAAATCATCTTTACGAGTCGACAGACTCTCCACATACCTAGTGTCACCGATGAATAATCAGATTCTAGCCAGTGGTATGCCTCATGATATCACTCACACTTAATATCGAGAATCGATTTGGTAAGAGGGGTTTCGTTGTGGCTACCTGCTTTGGATGTATCTACACAATACAAATTGTTCTCCTGAGATTTAAAAGTAGTCATATTGGGGACGCGAGCCCGCTTCAGCGCCTCCTTGTTAATTTGATACAGGCAAATCTTTTACGCAGAAAATTCGCAATTAAAAGGCCTTAACTTTTGCTCTTACACCAATAACACATAAAAAGCCACAGCTCATGAGAAACTAGCATCTTCCTACCATAATATCCTCAAAGGCAAACCCAAAACACTACAGTTAGGGATTCTGCTGCCAATTAAATAAAAAGCCATTTACTAGAGCAACAGTGCCCATTATCTTAAATGTGCACCTTGATATTGGCTGTCTTGTGCGAGCTTATTGAAGTTCGCGGACTTAGCGCATTGCAGCCACTGTTGATCATTTCATCGATATGGATTTTCTGTAAATATCTGCAAATCCTCGCGCCGTTCAAAAGAACAGAAGAAAAGGGCAGCGTCTAAGCGACCTAATGCCTCAAACATATAGGTAATATGGAATTACCAGTCGGAAGAGAGCAGGATTTTAATGTCAGAACCTCTCGCAATATTTTTGGCTACAGCAGAAGAAATAAAAGTTTGAGCAATAAACATGAAAGTCATAATGAGAGAGAAGATCATATGT